TCAGGCATGTTAAAAGTTTTTCCCAAGGGCTATCCATATTTACTTACTGAGTTATCTCATAGTTTTCCTTGTCCACCATTTCAGGAAGCGAAACTGAGGACGGGGAAACCGAGGGGAGTGACGAGTTATAAGGCTAGCCATTTCGAGATTGATATAGATTTAGAAATAAATCATGCTCTTATAAGCTAGATTGTGATTGGAGATTTTATGATATCAAAGCAGATTGTAAAATTTTATCTTGAGATTTTGTGGTATCAGATTGTGATTTGAATAAGTTTCAAGCCTTGTGCACTTGTGGGACCCGTCTCACGAGTGCACGGCGTCTGCCACGTCCTTGGATTCGAGTTCTGGGGCGTGACAGATTTAGTGGTATCAGAGCTTAGGTTTGATTGAGATTTCGTGATGTGAGAGCCTAGGTTTAAGTGAATACCTAGGATTTGTTTTGGATTTGGCTAGCCAAAGGATTTTAGAATCGTGGTGAGATGAGTGATGGGGTTATACAAGAGACGATTCTGATTTGTGTTGCCTGAATTTTTGGATTCACTTTGATGTGATAGTGATTCAGTTAGTTCCTGTTGTCTGCCGTTGGTGAGCATTTTTGAAATTAATCTTGCTCACTATGCTTTTAGGACCTTGTTTGAAACTTGGTCCCTTGTGATAGTATGCTTGATTTTGGTTGTGGTAGGATGTATAAGGCCTTCCACATTGGGTCTGTTTGTTTAAGTATTCATCTAGGCATTCATACATGAATGCAAACATGGACATACATGAGCATATACACGCATACATGCATGCACACATGGACATTCATACATGCATGCATAAAGGCATTCATTCATACATGCATATGCATGCATTCATCCATTCATGATCCCATATATCCGAGTGATGTTTATCCGTCTCGGATAGGGTTCCACCGTTTAATTGAATTCATCATTAGACTCCCTGCCATGATGTGTTTGATGAGTGCCGGGTCTTGATTTGAGTCAAGGGCACCACATAATCACGCCGATAACTCTCGAGTTTAGTTACTTGTGTTGAGGCGTGAAGTTATCTCTCGCCTCCCAAATGATCATTGGAGAGGGTGGAGATTAAGATTGTTGTTGGCTTGTTAGGGCAGTGATGAGTACCCAGTCCTTGTAAAGTGAATCTGACTGTTGTATCTTTGTAATTGTTAGCCGTGTGTCTTGAGATTGATTTCCTTGTGATAGTTGTGTTTGATATCAGAGTGGCGCAGCGAAAGCGTAGTAGGTCATGTTCTGACCATAGAAAGTCAATGGGGCATTTGTTTTGTCTTGGGTTGTGTGAAACCATTCACCAATCGAAATGATCCCCAATTTGAGTTTTGGGGACAAAACTCCTTTTTAGGAGGGGTGGATGTAATATCCCAAAATTTTGGGAATTTTATCAATTAAGTTGAGGACCTTGTGTGAGAAAATGTTATTAAGGGGCTTAATAGTCAAATTTTCAAAAGTTGGGGGACTAAAAAGAAAGAAAATTAGGATAAGCATCAAGGCTGATATTTCTCTCCTCAGCCACGT